CCCCAAAACCCCAAAACCCCAAAACCCCAAAACCCCGAGATATCTAGATGTAATTGAAACTTATTTATCGTGCTTCCTTCCGAAAACTCTTTTGTATAAATAATCTGCCACCGTGTTGATATCAATCTCGTCCTCAGTCTTTGTTTTGAAATCTTTGATCTTTACTACCTTCCGCTCAAAATCTTGAGATGACTCTGAATCATTATTTCCTTCTTTATCATCCTTGAGGATGATCAAGAACCTGATTGTATGAATAGTACAGAAGTCGAAGATGTCTAAGCGATGAGAGTGAAATTTTACCTCTTAATTTCTTGTTCCTGAAATCAGCCAAAGCTTTGATACCCTGATTCCAGAATTCAGAAAGAAGTCTAATACCCTGCTCTTTGTTCTTCTCGTTTGTAAAAATACAGACATCTATCTTATTTTTGTATTTACTGGGAGCTTTCATCTCCTCTTTGTCACTCCTAAAATATTAGTCTAAAATTACTGTTCTCTTTTGACAATGTGGAAGGCGATCCTCTGGATATTGAGACATGAGCCCACTGCGAACATGTTTGAGGTTCTAGTCGGTACATCAAAGTGGGAAACTTGGTTGTCGTATCTCCCTCCATAAGCTACCTCATTCTCATTGAATAAGCTGATTTCTTCATTGTTCCCTGTACAGATTATTTTGTAAAAGAATCCACAGTAGAAGATGTGGAATTGGCTTATTACAAAGCCCAGGTCGAAGTAGAGAAAGTTTTTGTTGATTCCAACCCATCCGCAGTATGACTGGAAGCTGAAGAAGTCATTGATGACATCCAAAAGTTCTTTTCGCATGATTATCCCCTTAATAGCTTCAATTTCTTTCTGAACTTGCTCAAGAGTTCCTTCGATTTTGATGAGTCTTCCCAATTTATCTACATTCTTTCTAGGAATTGAGTATGTCTCGTTGAGCTTCTTTTTGATTTCGTTCCAGGTTCTTTTATCGCAGACTGATAGCACAGAGAGAACCTTGTGTCTAACTTTTATATCAATGTTGCATTCCTCCATGATGATGTCCAAAATTAGAGAGGAGTTGATGATAATTTTTGGATTTCCAAGAACCTTAGTGTATTTGGAAAGGATCTCGTAATTAGTGCTGAGGACTTCGACCTCATGCATTATTTCTTCATCTTCATTGATTCCTTCGTCCTCGTCTTCGTTGTAAAGGTATCCTTTATCTCTGCTCATACAGATATCAAAATTAGCTTCCCAGTTCTTTAACGGATGACTGGAAGTGAATGACTTATTTTCATGTGTCTCAAAGACCTTATCCACGCAGTATCTCTTAATGAAGCCTGGGTTTTTAATATTCAGGTATCGAGCCCAGTTCTCGACTAGATTTGTGGATAGGTACTTGGCTGAACGGCTAAAGACTTGGTCAGCATTGATAAACTCTATCCTTCTCTTCTCTTTCAGCAATCATTGTTTCTCAAAACTGAACTGTTCCTTCCCTTTTTCTACAATCTCTCAGTGGTTATAGTCAATCTTTATGTAATCTGAGTTAAGATTAGAGTCCTTTTTCTTTGAAGATTTTAGATTCTTACTCTTCTTCTTTAACACTCGAGGGATGTCATCCAGATTTGTATCGAACTTTTCCATAAAAATTGTGAAGGTATTGGTCATGGGCTTGAAGGTGGAGGATTCCATGAACTTAGCCCCATGTCTTTCGAATACCTTCTTTCATCCCTTCATAACTTTATTGAGGATGTCATTCTCCTTGCTGTAGTTGTCAAAGGAAAATTTGAAGTCCGGATAGTCTAAGAAATATGTGTACTGCGCCAAGGATAGGTTATTAGCATTATTCTCAGGGTCTAAGAACTCCTCCTTGAGAAGTACCTCTGCATTAGGTCGGTCTTCAGGATTTTCACTGATTAACTTCTCTATCATCTCAACATAGTTCTTTGGGATCTTGGGTAAATACTCTGGTGGGACCTTGAACTCATTTCTTAGGTATTTCAATGCCCTGTCTTTCTCCATTAAGGAGCGCAGATCAGCTCACATTTCAAAGAGAATGATGCCTAAAGAGAACATATCTGTTTTCTGGTCGTAGTTCCTCTTAGTCTCTTGTTCAGGAGACATATAGTAGTATGTCCCAATACCCATTGACATCATTGGATCAGAGAACTTATTCTCGTTTAGCTTTGATGCGTTTGGATTCATCGATTTTCGTAGTTGTTTCAGACGCTCTTTCGGATCCATCTTGGAAGATTTACGTGAGAATGAAAGATCCCCAGTCTTTGAGTACTGATCTTGTTGATTAGACTGTAATTCTTGAGCTAACCCAAAATCTCCAAGTTTGATATTAAGTTCTTTGTCAAGGAAAATATTTGCAGGCTTGAGATCCCTGTGAAGAAGTCCCATACTATGGATATAATTAAGTGCTTTGAGGATTTGTTCTGTATATTTCCAGATCTCATTTTCATCCTTAACTCCACTCTCTATCCATGTTCTGAGGGTGTCTTTTTCACAATATTCCATCTGTATGTATAATCTTCTTCTCTTCTGGTCTTTAATTTTCTCTTCTTTCTTCTCTGACTTCTCCTCCTTTACTTCTTCAAGTAGCTTCTTTGGGTTTTGGATCGTAGCAGATTTTTCAGATATTGAGTCTGGATCCTCAAAGATATCACTACTATTGGAATCATCATTATTTTCCTCAAAGATTAAATCCCCACTGGAATCAGAATCATCATCAATGTAGTCCTTGTCGAAATATTTTGGCTGACCTGAAGGTATCCTTTTAGAGATTGTAAAGTCATAACTTGAAGCACTATGACGTCTCTTTAACCTTGAGGCTTTGTCCTCGCTCTCCTCTTCTTCAGAGGACTCTTCTTCGGTGATGGAGTCTCCTTCTCCGTCGCTTTCTTCCTCATCTTCAATTTCTTCGATCCATGCTTGATAGTACCTGACGATATATTGGTTGTGGAGCTGACTTAAGACAGCTACTTCTCTGAGCAATCTGTCATTTTCTTTCTGAGCTTGCACTGTATTATCGAGCTTGACCTTCTTTACTGCATATATGAGGTTATCCAACCGATTCTTGGCCATGTAGACTTGACCTCCCCCACCTCGACCAATTTTGGAAATCTCTTCGAAATCTGATAAATATCTACTATTCGGGTATTTTGTCTTAAAGTCAAAATTCAGATTTGGAATGGATGACTTTAATCCTATTGGCTGGTTTATCCCAGACTGGCTCTCTGACTTATTCATTTTCATAAGCTGGAGTCTGTTTTCTTTGGCTTTAGCCCGGTTGATTTCAGCTACAATGTTTTTGCCGACCTTCATTTCTTCGTCCTCTTCACTTTCCTCCCCTTCAAGATCACTGTCGTTAGAGTTGACACCGTTTAGTTTGTCTAGTTCATACTTTCTTCGCTTGTCACCTAGAGTTATAGATGATATTTACCTTTTATCTTATTGAGATCACTGAGAAAAGAACTTAGCTCGAGACATACCTATAGTTAAGAATCAGAGCGTACAAGGTAGACCCATCCATGTGCGTCCTCCTGGTTTTTGGTTTTAATCATCTTAATAATCTCCTTCACTTTTGCTACCTCTTTAGGACTGAGACCATGAAGTTCTGATAGTTTAAAAATTGGCGACCTTGTTGGATATCTTGCTCTATATTTTACCTTAAGTTCAAGACTGCAGAGGATCTTTTGCCCCTCTTCGACTGAAGGCTTGACTACGACGCTAAACTCTCCTAAGCTCTTTTCAAGTACAGGTTCATAAATGATGACACCGTCTGGGTAAATGCCCTGAATTGCCTCGAGTTCATCTCTGCGTATTTCAAAGGATCCTTCATGTTCATCGCAACTTCCATCACTGCCATCGTTGAGGTCATTTTTCTCTGTTAGAGTTTAGCTAGTTGCTTACTTTTACGCCTGCGCCTTCTTCTCTTCCTCTTTGATTTCGTAGGTTCTTCTTCTGGTTCCTTCGGCCGACTCTCTGCCCTTGTATTGTCGGTTCTGGAGTTATTTATTTCGGTCTTTTTCTTTCTGATTTATGAGGTCCTTCTTTAAAGAGTTCCTTACCTGTTTCTTCTTTTTTGGAGAACCTCCACCTGCAGCCTCTGTTACTATCCACTCACCATCTTTATCTTCTTCCTGGTTGGACTTCTTCCTCTTCTTGTGGCGTGGCATTTTTGTGAAATTATATTTATTATATCTCAAACTGATCTTAGGTAAAAGGGGTTTTGGGGTTTTGGGGTTTTGGGG